CCCCTAGTGGATTCTCAACACAAATTATTAATAAAGATAAAGGCAAAACCTCACCTTCAAAAAAAAAAAAAAAAAAATGAAAACTTCAAATAAAATATATAAATCTAGTTTTCTATACAGTAGCCACAAAAGTATAGTTAAAAATCTTTTATCTTTTCTAATTTAAAAATAGCTAATTCAATTAAATTATTGATTAATTGTCTAATAGTCTATCGAAATTCTATTAGTCTAATAAGTCTAATATTTATTGATTTTGATCTGATATTTTTTATATATTAGCAAAATGATGATAACTAATATTAACTAATTAGATTGTTTTAAATTATATAGTAATTTGTCTATTGTCTAATGACTTAATTAAATACTATTAGACTATTAAACTATCTATTAAGTGTATTGGCTTGTCTATTATCTATTCACAACCCTGCTATTGTATCTTATTATTATTTGCTTTATGATTTGACTAGTTGAATTTTAAGCAACTTCAGTGCTTAAATCAACTAATCAAATTTCATATAGCAAATAACTTAGTTATTAGACACTTTGTGCCTAATAACTATTATTATTAGATTTACTAATTTTCCCAAGTTGATATTAGACGAATACAAATCTCATTTCTCATTAGATTGAATAACTAATCAGATAGCTAAAAAATTAATATAGTCATTATTATGTACTACCTTAAGTATCAATTCAATAATTGTTATTATTTTTGTAATAATTATATGTTTTAAAATAATTACTAATGCTAACATTTTTTTAATATAGCAACTCTTCACAACTGATAAAATATTTTAAAAGTTTTTTTTAGCAACTTTCATAATTTATAATAGTGTGCAACTGAATAAATAACTTTTTACAAATTTTATTAACTATAGTATCAAATATCTGTTATACTATGCAAAAATATTATTAATAGTATATTTTATATTTTTGTTTACTATGTCAATTCCTCTTAATATCAATAATATTTTTGATGTTGGTATGGATATAAGTAGTAATGAACTCAATAACATGCTTGATTGTATTTTAGATACAACAAACTGTTGATAATAATGCTAAAGAAAGCTTAGAGACAAAAAAGGTAAAAACCTATAGTCTCCCAGTAGATGAATATGAAAGATGGATAAAAGACCTCAAGAAAGCAGGTTTTAGTTATTATCAGCATGATATTGAACCAATATAGATGCAAAAGACAAAACAAATGAAATAAATAGTGGTATTGCTATTGTTATAGGGATTACAAAATTGCTGTTAGAAAAGATGCAAACAAAAATTTATGATTAGTATAGAAAAAACTAAAAATATAGATATAAAGCTGTATTCATATTATGCTTTCTGTAAACTCTATAATAATAACTTTAAAATACTATTATAAATATCATCTGTTAAATTGTCAGATTTATATATATTTTTTTTCTAAAAATTTTTAACAGTTTATACAATAGTATGTTTTTAAAGAACTTAATATTTTTAGTATACAAAAACTTATATATTTTCAAGAATATGTCTTATTGTTAGGTGTTGATGATTTATATATTTTATCAGCTTTTTAAAAGAATTTATTTATTCTGTAGGTTCTCCGGAAGAACAATATGAACCTACTTACCCTGCTGCTGCTGCATTACCACCTTCTACAATTGAATCTGGTACATTTGTAATATATCATATAGCATATAAGGTGATATATGTTTACGAGTTTATACATCTAATGTAATTTGGTTTGACTTTTAATAGAGGGTCATATTAATGAAGCAATTCTTACCCAGGAAGATGAACATTCAATTTTATATTCCGGAAAAAGATTTGTATCATTGGATGTATGTGAAAATTTCATCATTGATTGGGCTAAGAAACAGGGTTTTCAAATTGTTAAGGATTGAGTCTGTCATGAAGAGGGTTTTATTCGTCAATGTACTTTTTTATGTGATCATAGTAGATCATATGAGTCTACTTCAGATCAAGGTACCAACACAAAGAAATCCTGGTGCCTATTTTTGGTTAATGTATCATGCCCAAAGACCAACAATCCTGAAACAGCTATAATTGTCAACAAAGTAAAAGATGAGCACAACCATATGTTAAGTCAAGACATAATCGAGTTTGAAGATGGTAAAAAATTCATGGATCAAATGATAGAGGATGTACGATTTATGACTACATGTTGTAAGTTTGGTGCAACAACACAGAAAAAGTTCTTGGAGGGAAAATATCCTTTACACCTGGTTTATTCAAAAGACCTTTATGCTGTTATGCGAAAATTTCAGCCTACCAAAAAATTTCTATTTGATGATGCTGCAAAAGTTTCTAATTGGTTGGACCAAAAGAAAGAAAGTGACCCATGATGGGTTGTTGCTAGAGGGTGGGATAGTGAAAACTGTTTAATACATTTATTATGGATGACTCCAACACAAGTTGAATATTGGATTAAGTATTCTGATTGTATACTCAACGATGTCACTCATAATACTAATAGATATGGAATAGCATTGTCATTATTTGTTCGCTTCGACAATGACCGTCATAATATATTGCTTGTACAGGCACTTTTAATAGACGAAAGTCTTGAATCTTATAAATGGGCATTTCTTAAGATAATTGAAGCAACCAAAACCCAACCAAAAGTAATGATTACTGATGCAGACCCAGCTGTTGATGCGGCTATTTGTCAAGTTTTTCATTCTATATATGCCATTCATTGTGCTTTTCACATATCGCAAAATTTACATAAAAATCTTAGAAAATCTTTAGGAAATAATTACCCAAAATTTCTTACAGAATTCTATAACTGTCGCAACAGTCTTGTTGAGAAAAATTTTGAACAACAATTTAATAAACTTTTAATGGATTATCCTAGTGCTAAACATTATCTTGAAGTTCTATATAAAACTAAGACATCTTGGGCGTATTGTTATACTGCCTATAAATTTACGGGTGGGATGATCGCTACCTCTCAAGTCGAATCCATGAATGCATGTTTAAAAAGGCTAATCTGTAATTCAAGTATTTTACTATGTGATCTAGTAAAAGAAATTCATAAGCTACTCGATAATCATGATAAGGAAAATGAGTATAGATTTTGGCGATTAGCCATTCCATCTGTTAAAAATCAGGAAAAAATGAACTTTCTGTTCACAAAGGTTGATCAGTATCTCCAGCGGTTTCTTGGACCTACAATGTTAAAAATACATAGGCATGAAATAAACCAGTCATTATATTATATGGCGATCCAAGTCGATTGTGAAAAAGTCGAGCACTTAAATAAAGTAAGTGAAGTGATAAATTCTGTTTTTGTTTGGAGTCAGTTTATTTTCATATGTTAAAGCTGGGTTTTATCAGTTTAACTTATGAAAAATAAACTGATTTCGAACTCTATTTTGTTTTACAAGTTGTACATTCAATATGTTTAAGCTAAATTTGCAATGTTAGGAATACGAAAATATACTGTTAAATGAATCAGCTGTTGATCTTCCACAAACGACTTTGAAACATATGATCAAATTTGTTAGAAATCATAACATTATAGAAATATGGGCAGTTAGTGTTAGAAACTCATTGCAAACTAAACACTATATTCTCTTATTACAAAACCATAAATATATTTGCTCATATCTTTCAATTATACGATCTGGAGTTATATGTAGACATTATTTCCAAATAATGTTAATTACAAAAACAGCAATGTTTCACATTCGGCTTATACCATCACGATGGTATTGTATTGAACAAAATGGATCAGAGGAGCCTTTCTTAGTTGCCGATAAATTTATGCAAGAAATTGAGCCTATAGTACTGAATTATAATGGATGTATACCATATTTAAGTGTGTTTGATCAGACTGAAACAGACTTTCATGAAGAGAACCTGACAGTACTTGAACAAAAAATGTGTATAGAAGATTGTATGGAATATACAAAAAAGCCCTGTGCAAAGCATTACAGGACAACAAGTCGCAGCAGCTTATTAATTTATTGGAAGAATTTGTTGAAATAGATAGTGACAAGTCATCAGATTCTGAAGAAAGTTTGCATGATAATACCAGTGATAAGGAAAATCATGATTCTGTAACAGCAGTTCAAATACAAAATCCCAAAAAGCATCGAGGCAAAGGTCAGCCATTAGGTACCAAAAGGTTTAAATCTTCTCATGAGAGTTCTAAATCAACAAAAAATCAGCGCCGATGCAAAAAGTGTAGAAATGTTGGCCATTATCAGAAGAATTGTAAGGTAACAGTTAGTATAGGTAAAAGTAATATATGCTGTTGTAACTACTACTAGGATTGTATATTTTATTGTAATCATGAAACAATCAAACAATTGTTTATTGTACATGAAACAATCAAATGATTTTTTATTGTAAATGCCGTAGTTTAGTATTCATCTCAAACTTGATATTTTTAGCATATCTGTCACAAAACAAATATCTATTAGTTGGAACTAGGTTCAAGTATTTGTTGTACATCAAATTAAAATTGCATCAGGCCAAAAGTTAAATACTGAATTCTATTAGGATTAGAGAAAAGCCCATGTTAGAGTTTAGGGTAGGTATTAGTGTGATTATAGCTATTTTGGCTTGACGCAGCATTAATTTGAAGTACATGTTCAGAGTAAATGGGCTGCCGTGAATAGAATTCAAGCAGATTTATTTAATAAATTTACTTGATTTCTATTCACGGCAGCCCAAATAGTCAAGATTGTTAATGTTCGTTGTATTATTATATGATGCCCAAACTTTAGCTCACAAGAACGGAATCGGAAAATGTGTACCAGGTTGGTAACACAGACAAACTTCTTAAAATTCGTTAAGGTCAGGGTTAGTGTTATAGTTAAGAGTTAGAGAGTGTTAGTTTTAATAGTAAAGTTGTCTAACGAAAACTTTTTTGTTAGTGACAAAAGGTTGTTTTTTATGCCGATTTTTGAATTATGAACAATTTTTGGCAGAACGAAACGTTTGTTTTGAATCTTGATGTGTTATGTTCATCTAATCTTGAAATCTGATTCATAGATCAGGAGAACTATGTTACCAACCTGGTAGACTGATAAATGCGATACATTAAAATAAGAGTCATGAATTAGCAAGAACGACTATCAAAAATACAAGTTATGTGAAGCTAATATATTTTGATAGTCTTTCTAATTTGTTTGGCAATGTTTATAATTGTATAGTATAGTAATATAAATTGTATAGTATAGTAATATAATTTGTAGTAT